TAATATGGTATTTGGTTGGGAAGTTCGGCAACGGAGTCGTCATATAAAAGTGGCCGTTCATCAGTTTCCTTTTAAAGGGAAGGAAAAGGTTTCAGCACCTGGATGGTGACCATTTTCTAGTAAATATATTGTTTTTGCCTCATATTTTCTTTGCTAATTTTAGAAGATAAGTTCCCACTAAGAACAACATCTTTGCTTCAAGGAGTATGTGACTTCATAAGCTTGTCATTGCTGATGAAACGTGACAAAATCTTTGCATTTCTCAGATTTTAAACTAGATGAATCCCACCTCTTCCTTTTTCTCTCTTTTTCTTACACCTTACAAATTTTCGGTAGACTTCCCTTGAAAAGTACTCAGATGCTTACAAAGAATTAAGCAATCGGATGGAAACCTGATCCAACCTTTCCCAAGTGCCATATATAAAATATATAGGCTTGTGAATTTCAGTAATGCCATTTTTTTTTCCTTTAAATCTACGTTTGTTTTATGAAAAATTTTGTAACGGGATGATCAACGAACTCAACTTGAAAAAGATATAACGTATAAAACAAGAAAAAATAAGTGAAAATGTACTTGTTGCTCCTGTATATAGATATTGTAGTTTCATCTCATCTAAGTTAAGCCAAGGTCAACATCAAGTTTTTTCCAAATTGATAATGTGACAAAAGCATTCAAGTGACGCTTGATTGATCAATGTGATGAGGAATTGGTGATGGTGGATTAGCAAGATAATTAAGGCATAATTAGCCCATTCCCAACTTAATTGTTTCGAAACTTCACATAATTTTTCCCTTTAATTAATGTAAAAGAATTACTTTCCAAATGATATGTTTGCTTTCGGAGCTCTCTGATCAGGAAAAATTCCGAGCTGATCGTTGCATGCTTTTGGATCTTTTGGGGTCAATAAGCACCTAGAGCAGAAGAAACCCCTGGAGGATTAAAAATAAATATATAATGCAACTATTTATTTCAACAGGATCCATCTCCTTTACCCCTTTCTTGAAAGAAAAGGAAATAAAATATTCCTGAATCAATCTTTTAGCATTTTCATTTGCAGCAACGTGGCTGGGTTCTAACTTCCAAGTCCGTTGTTGACAGTAATTGACTGAGACTGAGGAGACTGAAGAGCAGTCAGTATATATAAGGAGGAAGGCAGATGACAAGAGGATTCACATGACACGCATTCGATGCCCAAGATAAGCCGTGCTTAGAAGAGAAAATTTTAGATAAATTTTTTTATTAAAAATAATTGAATAAAATTTAAAATAGAAAATCAAAATTAAAAAATTTTATTAAATAAATTAAGTGTACAAAATTTTTTAAAAATTAAAAAATTTTGATATATTTTTAAAATATACATTTTTAATAAAAATTTTATCAAAATTTTTATTGTTAAATAAATAATTATCAAATTTAAATTATAAATAATTTTTTTAATAATTTTTACATATTATTGATTTTTTATTAAATTTTATCAATTTATCAATTTAAATTTTTTATTAAATTTTTATTAAATCATTTAAAAAATAAAAATAACTTCAGAAACTTTATTTAAAAATTTTTATTTAAGTTTTACCTTGATTGAAAATCCTGATAAAGCCTTCCCGCCCACACACCATGCACTCTCTCTCTCTCTCTCTCTCATCTGTTTGTCTGTTTTTTATATATGGTTTTGGCACAGTTTGTCTTGGTTTCTACAAATAAAATTAACCTCCACTTGTTTTTCACATGCATGGACTGACATCGCCACTCATTATCCCACATGCACATGCAAACACATCTCTCTCTCTCCCTCATCTTTGGTTTGTAGGTAAATGGTAATTTGCTTTCCTTAGGGTCGCACTTCGATTTATACAATATTGGATGATGATTATGATGATGATGATGATGATGATGATGATGATGGCATGATGACGAGTTTTTAATCCTTTTAATTCGTCTATTATCTTAAATCAACAGCTCCACGGAACCATTCAGTGGGCGTGAGAAATATTATGGGGAACCCCTCCACGCACTTTCTCTAATGGGAACAGAAGGCACATTGGAAAAGCTATAATAAGTCGGTCCCCCCCTACCTAAAGTACAATAGCAAATAAGTAAGATTAATTCCATGGACTCTGATCCTTGAATTCATCTCTCTCTTTCTTTCCTTCTTCTCTTTTAGATTCTTAATTCGATGGAAAGAGCATTCCATGCATGATTATTACGTATACACCAATACTAGCTCCTCTCTAGTATTTTTTTTCCCCTTCTGACAGGAAGAAAAAAAAAAAAAAAGCTAAGATGTTCAGTCGTTTGGCTCCTTATTGTTGGGGTTTCATCATACTCAGAGGACTCAGTATATCCTTTGGGGCCCCAATTCATAATCATAGAATTTCAGCTCTTTCTTGCTGTTTTTTTGTCTCATCTTTTTCTGTTTGTACTGTCCTGCTTCTCATTCCCTCCCTATCAAAACTTCGATACACATCTTAGCTAATATCTAGCGTATTAGCAGAGATGATCAGTCAGTCTGCCGCGCTTGTATAATTTCTAGCCAGTATGACACATTCTTTCAAAAGTAAATGTTGTGATATATAGCATGTTGATACTATATTAAAAAAAATGTATATGTCACGTTAGCCACTTAAAAATAATGATTATATTAAATAATTAGATGGGGTCGAACAACGTTGATGAAGCATAATAACAATATTAAATGCATGTGGTCATATATCTCTAATGATTTTTTCTTATTTTACCAGTAACATGGAATTTGGCGCATATGTAGTCAGACCATTTTATCAAGATGTTTGTATATAATTCGCATGATTTTAAACTTAATATTATAGGAACATGATTTCATAATATATTGAAATCAGCTCATCTTCGTAAAATGATCCCTATGTGTGTAAATTGAATAGTAACAATACGATTATCATCTTTAGTTTTCATTATACGTATCATTAATTAATTATAGACGAAATTAATTGATTATGTGATTTTTTTCATTAAAAATTTGAACTCTGCTCTTTGATCAACTGAATCAAATGTTATGATTATGTGATTTTGAATGAGAGTAAAAGTATCTACCAAATTGCAATTAAAAGTGAAACATGCTGGTGCGAAATTAAGGAGAGGTTTTTTAAATTAAGAAAGCATTACGAAAGCAATTTTAATACCATATAAGATAGTAATTACAAGGGTCTTGTGTTAAATGGGCCCTTAAATCAAGAGAAGAAATGGGGGATGTCCACTTTCTAGAACGTTGATGGTGAATTTTTGATATCCCCACCAATGCTCCTAGCTTTCCAAGCTTAAGTTATTCCTTGCCCAAGCACTGTCATCCGGACGCCACGCCTCCCATCTTTTACTGCACGCCCCCCTTTATTTAGAACCCTGTAACAGTGATACTTTCCTTCATATCTTTATCAGCCATCCAATTTTTATCCTGCTCATAAAAGTTATGTGGCAAACGTTAAGTATTGTATACAATAGAAATCAAATTAATGACTCTAAAACTGCTAACCCATCACCTCCTACTAGTCCTACTTAAAAGGATTTTTATCAACGGATTGAATAGAAAGTCAGAACGACAATAATTGTAGAAATGAAATTGCAATGAAGCAAAATTAATTGGCATTTTAAATGAGGTATAATTGTCTCATCCTTTATTTAGTTAAGAGAAATTTGCTGTTTTTTTATACAAGAAAAGGAATGTAGTTGTTGGAATTTGAATTTCAAACATGTTAAAAATCACCTCAAATAAGCCAACTGAACTATTTCATATTCGAAATTTGTGGAGTGACTCCTTGAAAAGTCCCTTTGTTTCTAGTTATATTGGAAACAGATAGAGAAAGCGCATGTTTGATGGGCTGGAAAGAAAGAGTAGCAGCTTTTCAGGAAAAGATCAGGCAGCAAACAGCAGCCATTGCTGTGAATCAAATATTAAATCACTCCGTCGAAGTTTTAACACAAAAGAACATAATATATGTAGCATAAATGGAGGGAGAATGAACATATAAAACAAACGAGAGGCGTCTCTCTTCCCGTACAGTTAGTGCAGGGAGGGTGGGGGGCACATGCTTCAGCAACGATATGTCCTACCAAGCCCACGTCGCTGTGTTTCGATTCTCGGGTTATGGGGAAACACCATCATGCATGCCAAAGTCCCCATCCTTTTTTTTTTTAGGTTTATAATTACCTCTTAATAACATACTCTACTCTAATGTTCTCAATTAATTTCTTATTTATTTGACAGGTAATCTCATTATGCCTTGCCACTCATCTGCCCTCTCTGCTGCTCGTCTCATTTCGAGGGCATTAGCATTAGCATTAGAAGTTTTTAAACTTGCCCTTTTCATGTTGAGAATATACTATAATCAGATCACTCCCAACACACAACTGATATCTGGTTTTCAAAAGGAAAAAAAAAATATTTGAGCAGGCTTTGCAGGGGAAATATGTTTCTCAAGAAAATTAAAGAGATTTGGGCAGAAATGTCTATATGATGAGATTGGAGTGCAAATTAAGAATGAATATGTATTAGTAATTGTTAATTAATTATTATTATTATTATTATTATTATTAGTATTATTATAATGATATATTATGATCCGCAGCATCCAAAAGCATGAAAGGCGTGGGATCTTTGAAGCAAATGTGAAGCAGATGGGCCAAAGGGGCGACGTGGTGGGGGTTTTGCTGTTTTCTGATTTTAAAACATTCCAATTATAGTTTAATGTTTGTAGGCATGGGTAGACATTCCCTAAAACCTCCCATTAGGGCTAAAAAGGACCTTTTTGTGATATTCTGAAAAGAAAGAGCCTTTACAGCCATTTTCTCCTTGGAACATGCCCTAAAGTTGTTTGTTGGGGGACCCTGTGATATTTTCCCATTTTAAAACAGGTGGAACATATATTTCGTCTTAATAAAGTCAAAAAATATTATAGTTCGACCTCTCTAAGAATATATACAATTTTATCATTATTTAATCCAACTGACTGACAGACCACCATCTCGCTCTTTCTCTACCCCCCCTCCTGCAACTATTTCATCTCCACAAGCTTCCAAACAAAGAGAATTAATAGAAAGTAAGATTTACAACGTTTATTCTCCTGGTTGTCCTCTGTTATGTTGACAATGAAACAGAAGATAATAACAATTCTTCTCTGATTAATGGGTGTCTCTTGCTTTCTTGATTCCTCAACTCCAAAATATGCTTATGGCAATAACCATAGATCCTTCTGTCCAATTTAAACAACAGATTGAAAAGCTTTTTTTAATCCATGGCTTATGTTGAGATCAAGACTAAGCTCGGGAATCGTTATCATCATCATCATCTTCCTTCTTGTTATTGTCGAAACTGGCTGTTCACGTTCTTGGGTTATAGGATATGACCATGGTTCTTGCTGAAAACCTTTCTAGACAAAATCATCTTCCTCACGGTGCCGGCGGCGGTTTTTATGATTGTTGTGATAGCAGTTACACAGAGAGTTTTGGTCTTATGAGCCGTGTTCACGGGTATGACTATCACACTGAAGGTTGCTTAGGATCTGATCTATTTGCTAATCCCATGGCTGAAGATGAATCAAGAACTAATAGCCTTAATGAGGCGGGCTCCAACTCCAAGGATAACAATCGAGAAGAGAGAGACGAAGGTTGGCTCCAACTAGGTATAGGGGGTCAGGCAACAAGATATGATCACAACATGCATGACCAAGTCGATCCAACGGCGAGAAGAGGAGGGCTAATCGAGCTTGATCTATTACCTGGTGGTAGCTCGCAACAAGCGAGGTCATTAGCCCCTATTTTTCATATGCCTGATTTTCGAGCTCCACCACGTCCACCGGTTATGCGTAGTTTTAGTACTTCTTTATTCTTTCAACACCAACAAGGAAGCTGCTCCACCTTCCCTCACGGTGAGATTAGCTGGGCATTTAGGCCGATAGCGCACAATATAGCAGCAGCTCCTCCCTCTTCCTCATCTTCTTCTTCTTTGATGCCATTGGGCTCCTATTTAGCCAGACAATTTCAAGTGCAATCCGGAATGGATGTTGCAGGGCCCAGCTCGGATGTCAGAATCATTGATCCTCCTAGAAGACCCCATTCTGGCATTTGGTTTATGCTACAAGCATCGCAAAATCAGTAAGTAAAAGAACAGGAAAAAAGGGAACTTGGAAAATATTAGCCTCACTTTTTGTTTTTGTTTCAGGATTCTCTTACTCTTTTAATCGTATCAATTTGTGGGATTTAAAATAATTAAGAGTTCACTTTCTGATGAAATTCAGTTGGTTTTTTCATTTCAGAGCAAAAGAACCGTTCTTGCCTCAAATACCAAAGAGTTACCTGAGAATCAAGTAATTATATTCTATCCCTTTGTTTTATTCCAATTTATCAGTTTCTACTTCCTTTTGGTTTTTCGAGGCTTTCACAGGAACTCCTAAAATATAAGAAGTCTTCTTCTGCTTTACAAACATTTTTCGTGTTTTGGGCTTCATTTTTTATATCCTCAGGGAAGGGAAGATGACAGTGCAGTTATTAATGAAGTATCTGGTTAACAAGCTGAGATTGGATAGCGAATCAGAGGTATTTAAATGCAACTCCTTTTCCTTTAAAATGCTTCTATGTTGAGAATGAGCTGCCCCATGCTTCATTTTGCATACCTCACTTGCTTCAGATTAGCAAAACATGACGGCATAAAAGAGCCAAAAAGAGAAAATAAAGTCATCTTTTTTATCCAATAAATTTAATTACATTATTATAGGACTTGGTTGGTGTTAGAAACATGACAGAAACAGCAGAACTAAATGCATCTCTCTTACTGTGCTAGTTCTTATTGTCATTTTCCATGTCTGATAACATCACATAATTTAGGTGGGAAGTATATGTCTTTGGTAGCCATTTTCCTATCTAAAATTCATTAGCTTTTTAACCCATAATCTATGGTTCCTGAGATTGCCCAAATGTTATTCAAATCAAGGTAATGAATTTTTGAAATGGCTATAAATTTCTTGTTTGGGTTAGTTATGGATGACCTTAGTGACAGGATTAAAGGAGTAGGGTTCAATTGTAGAAGTTTAGAGATGATATAGAAAAATACCTACCACCTTCTTTTCTCAACCCCAAAAATAACTTGAAGAGAAATTGCTTTTCTTGCTTCTATAAATGGGGTTTACTATTTCTCACCATAAACTTATATGAAAGTAACCTATCAATGATCTGGCATACTTGCTTAGAGAACAGAAGAAAACACAAGCAAAGTATTGTGTAAATTAAAGCAAAACTAAATAAAATAAATATGAATCTTATATGATTAAATATTTAGAAAAAATATGATGCCCCTGCCTGCAAATCCATAAATCATGGTTACATAATACACAGAATCTGAATGGCATGTATTTTGCACTGTACAGCCATTAATTACCTTTAAAAACTGTGGAAACTTTGAGAAATATAACCATTTCTTTGTACAAAAGGGAAAACCGTTCTTAAATTTAAGACTGTTATCAAAACCCCTAACCACCTCAATCACCTGAATTAGACTATAGCATTGCAAGAATGTACTAAAAAAAAAAGAGCGTAATGCAAATATGCTTGCCTCCAAATTCAAGCAGAATTCATGTAAAGTGATAACAAGCAGTAAAACAAAGCAAAGATAACATTCTAGCTGATTGCATGCATCATCTTAAGCAGTATTGAGGGTATATCTTTCAATCACATTTTTGGGAGGCTAATTCTATTGCCGATGCTTTAGCTAAATTTTGAGTTCCTCGTTCTTATGCTTTGATTCTAATTGGGAGCTCTTGGGGCTTGGCTTTAATTGGGTTGTTTACCTCTTCTTTTTTAACTTCTCTCATTTTCTCCTTTATTTCCCTTGTACTCCTTCCTGTCCGTTAATAAATAAAAAAAAAAAGCTAAATGATTGGCAAATCAGCTCATTTTAGATGTATATGGACGGAAATTGCTCCCTTATTAAAAGAAAAACGAAGTTGGTAGTGAAGAAAATAGAAAATATTTTGGTTTAGCTATGAAAAATGGGAAAATAGCCTAAGACACAGAAAATCGATTAAAGCTTTGATTAGTTAGGATTACAATCTATACTCCTATTCCTATAAAGGGAAAAATATATACTCAATGGTAAAAATACCCGTATAATGAAAATTCAAGTTGCTTTATAGGTGGTCATTATCAGGAAAAAACGATGTCTATACCACTATAATTTGTGCACGAGGTGCACTATATAAGTGAATAATTTGTGTATCTCAACTTGTTAGCTAGATTCACTTTATTTTTCTCCTCGTCCCTTTTATAAACAATGCTTCTCATGCACACTTCATAATCAAATACAATTATTTCTTCCCTAATTATGACATTAAAGTAAAGTTTCTTCCATACTACGTTAGCATTTATAATTTTAAACCTAAGAGATACAATAATTCAGTATGTAAAGTTACTCAATTTTATCTGCTAAAAGTAAATGTAACCTTTAAATCAACAAATAGCTCCTAAGACAGTCCAAAATAAATCATAAAATTTTCACAAAACGAAGCTTGGTGTTCATTCTAATTTCTAGATTAAAGGATATTAAAAATCTTAATAATTAATTCCCAAGTGCATATGCACATTGACATTTGAACTCGAAGTCGACAACTTCATCACATTCATGTGTATGTCATGCAAGGATTAACATAAAAGAGATTTTATAGATTCTTAATTAATTAACATACAATACAATTTATTCAAGTTTATAGGTTTTTATACCATCTCTTATATTTTGATGGGAAATAGGCTTCAAAGTATGAAAGAAGATACTTTCAATTTATTGATTTAATTTTTTTTTTCAAATATATACTCAATGTACTACGTATTCATGGAAAGCATAAATCCTTATGCTTTTCTATACGTTTCAAAGAGAACTTAAATGTCAAATTACCATATGTCATTTTTTAGCAAGTTACATTTAATCATAGCTTTAATTTGCGGTAATCTTTTATTAGTAAGCTTTTTCTTTTTTTTTTTTTTAAAAAAGGGTAAATATATTCCTTTGCTTACTTCTTAACATGACTTCTTCTTCTTTTTTTTTTTGTTTTGGGTGAAAAGTGGAATTTGATGTTAGGATCTATTTTGGAGAGAAATTGTGTGTTTGTTGTATAGAAACTTCAAAGAGCTAGTATTCTCCCAAGATCAATTGAAAAGAAAGATTTGAATTTGTTAATTTCTTTTCTAGTGTGTATAAGTTAATATAAATAATTATGAAACTTTAGTACCGCAAGTCCTTAATGTTATATTTAGTTCATTTCTCATTTCATGTACTTACTTTCAAGCATGCTATGCATATAAATATTATATATATAGTTAATTTCATGTTCTTCTTCTACCCAATTTTTGAATCATAGGATGAGATTCTAGGTTTAACTACGTCCAAATGACAAATTATTAGGAAAAGAATCACAGCTGGACAGAAATGTGCAGTAATCTTTCCTTAGCTATTAGCTTTTGACAAAACTTCGGCATCCTTGCACTCTGAAATTTGTTGTTTGAGCCCTACATCTTCTGTAAAAGCCAAAATGAAGCTTTTGTTTGCCAAGCTTGAGAAACATTTTTCTTCATTTGGTTTTCTCTTTTGGGTACGTCTAGACATGTTGACAAATTATACTAACCAATTCTTCTCGTCAATTCATCTAATATTAAAAGGAAACGAAGATCTTAGACATCATATTATTAATTATTAGATTGAAAACGTTGTCAGTTACATTGGCCTTCATTCTTTGTCCTTTCTGGCACTCCAAATATCATTTGTATGTCTTGTCTCTATGCCTGCCATCCAAAACATCTAAACTATGTTAGCCTGCTAGAATTTATGATAGTTATGACATCTTCGACATTCTGTTTCGTTGCATTAGTATCAATTATATAATATTGTTTCGCATATATATAAATTATTTAAACTATGGTGGATGCATATATACTTTTGTTTCTTTCCTTGAACTTCATGACCTGAAGTAATCCAGTTGAGATTATGACAAGTCATGTTAACAGCTATTGCTTGTTTGTATTCTTCACCTAAGAGAAATGCACCCAATCTCAAAAAATCATAAAATTTGTTTAGATAATATAGACGTGCGTCATGCTGAAACATCCTCATGCTTTTATATAATAAAAGAAAATCCCCATGTAATTATTTAGTTCAAGTCGGCTGCCATTGATTTGGGCAAATTCTTGGCAGCGGCTGGGCGATAATCATCTCTTTGCCACATAAAATTTTCATCTCAGCTAGGGTTTTTTTAGTCTATCGGCCTGGGATAAGAAATTTCTGCTTTTTCACGTGACATGCAACAAAGGATCCAATGATTAGTGTTATAAGTGATTTTAGCGTAGATGTAGGACTCTTCTCTCTCCCTTTCTCTCTCTTTGATATCTCCTTAAATAAATTATCCATGTTCTTTATTACTCTTTTAAACCATTTTGTTGTCATGATCATTACCCATAATACAGAGAGAAGCATGGCCAATTTCTTTATTTTTACATACTCAGGTTAATAATAATCAGTCCAAGGAAAAGCCCAAAAGATAACCTCTTGAACATGATGGGAAAGGTTCCTTTGATTTTTTTTTTCTTTTGCATTTTTTTAACTGCAAATGCAATGCATTGACTTTAAGATATTATAGCATAAAAGCATCTTCATCCTTGAATTATTATCATCTCGTCCATAGTTGACACTCACCAACATATACATACCCGTGCTCTGAATAAAAAATTAAAAAAAAGAGAGAGAGAGAGAGAGGATTTGATATTAAGACAGGTAGTAAAATCATATCGTAGGGCCTTGAAAAGCACACGTGGACCCTGTGATTCTCAAACCCTCCCATCTGAAAGAGTTTTCGCTTCCTTTCGTCACGCTTTCGCTTCTTTCTTCTCAGCACAGCTAATTGTAGGCCCTCCTTTTTTGAGCCCTTTTTTCTCATGGATTTTGCTTAAAAAGGGACTTCAAAATACCTTAAGTGCACCACTTTGATGGATTTTAAAACACCCCATCATCACTCCCACAACCAACCACATAATACTTATATTCAATTATAAAAAAAATCCCCACATATTTTACGTCGGGGGAAAGCAATGCATGAGGGATAATTCCACAACAGAATCATTCCTAGTTGTTGAAAAAAAACAAAAATAAAAACATAAAAGGACTGATAAGAGCCCCATGAAAATGAGTTCTTTATTGTTGGTGGACATGGAATGCATGCAGAATTAAATATTAGGGAATAAATCCTTATCTTTCATCAACATCCACCCATTAAACAATTATTAATCCCTTTTCCCCCACCTTAGCTAGTTCACCATATGGATTTTAAGAATTAATTATTATGAATATTTAACCAAATCGAAAAAATCAACACAGTTTGAGGAATATTGACTTTAGGCGTTAGCGGTTTTATTTAAAAAAGAAACTAAATTACACCAATAGTCATTCAATTTTAGATGAATTTTTATTTTAATCACTCAATTATAAAAATTTACGTATGTTTTAGTTATTAACATTTAAGTAAATATTTCTTACTATCTAATTGCTAATCTTTAACATAATATTAACAGAATTAGTCACGCATGATATCAATGATCATGTGACATGCTCAAGTAAAAGAAATATTACAGTAAAATTGCTGACATGACATGACAAAATAGAAAAAGGCACCATGTTGTTGCTACTCTAACATGTAGCCATTTCCATATTCTTCTCTCTTACTCTGGAATTGGTCCAGGTCGCCTTTCTCACATGGTTGTTATCCCAAATCGTTGCCACAATCAAATGCCGAAGTAAAAGTGAGGAAGATAGAAATAAGCAGCAACAAACTTTTTTATTATTTTATGCTATATCAGCAACGCTAACTTTATATATTTTTGACACACACATATCACAGTCACTAATATTGTACATGGCTCGCTTAGTCAACATTTTATTAGAAATTAATAGTTAAATGATAAAAAAAATTTATTTAAACGTTAACGATTAAAATATAATTTTGTACACTTAAGTGATGAAAGTAAAAAAATCTAAAATTAAGTGATTATCTGTGTATTTAAAAAATAACCTGAAGAAGACGTGCATGAATGTGAGTGGTGCACGTGACAGATGTTGAGTTAGGTTTTGTAGGAATAAATATAAAAAAACTGTAACAAAAAGATTTTTAAAAACATGAAAAGAAAATTGGGTCCCTATTCCTCGCTTTGCCTTTTGAATCGTGTTTAATTATTATACATAATGCTTGCTATTTTTGAATATTTATGTAGTGAATTATTTTAATTTTAATACCACTATTAAAATAAAAGTCTATAGAATCATGATTTTGGCTTACGAGTAAAGTCTATATAGGTGGGACCCGTAATGATAATTTCGGGCAGTTTAAGATCGTGGTATTAACGGGCAGGCTTCAGAAGAATAGAGTGTCAATTTCCCTGCCTGACCGCTGACCTAAGTTTGTAGTACTAGTAGTATTTTTCAATTTTTCGTGTTAGGGGGAATGAATATGTTGGAGCAAAGAACAAAAGTAGGAGAAAGAGAAAGGGAGAAATTTTATGGGTAAAGTAGAAGTTTCAGATTGATGGGGCATAGCCTGGATAAGAGACGTAACCCAGTGACAAAGCATGACTTCAATAGCACTCGTAAGAAAAAAAAAAAAAAGTTCAAAAATATTTGAAATTTTTCTTTAAATATTTTTATTTTTTTAATTTAAAAAATATTCATAAATATTCTATTTCGAAACATAAATTCGTATCCGATTGACTGAAAGAATTTTGTTTCTTTTTGGGTTTTCTTAATGACTTTTAACCAATTAATTGATCCCCATACAGTTCACGTCCACATCGTTTCGTTGCTTTCAAGTGAAATTTGAGGAAACTTGTCGACAAAAAAGAAAAATAAAAAAATGACCATTTGATATGAAAATTTTTCTCTTTTTTTTTATTCCTTTTACTCAATTATTTTGTAAGATTTTATGAATAAAATATGGAACTGCTGACAAGAGCGTATTGTACGATTGGAATAAGCAGATAGAGATAACATGTCGAGGGCAACAGCTTCTACCATTGATGACGTTGCAGCATGTAAGAGATCAAATATGGAGTTCAAGAGACGCTGTGACTTTGCTTCCGGAAACCTCAACAGCTGAACATGTCATGGTTCTGCACTATGGTAGGAGCGCTTGAAACAAAACATTTTTCCTCTTAAATTTCTCATAATTTAATCGCCTCCTTTTTATGTGATGGATGTATCATTCTTAAGTTATGGAAACCCGTCCCTTAATTTCTTTTCTTATTTCTTGCATCTCTAATCTATATATTTCTTGGAGAAAATAGTTTGGAGATGTCCTGAAATGATGTTTTGATTTTAACCAAAATTGTTTTTCCTAGCTATGCTAGCTTAATACTTAATTATTATCGTTTCTTTCAACTAGTACAAACTTCATTTGATTAATTGAGTAATTAAACCATTTTTTTACTCACTTCTCGCTCTCCATAACTCATGCCTTAATATTCATATCTTCAATCAACAAGACTGAAGACTTGCCACAGCTAGCAGGTACCTTGTTTATCTTGATTAATTAAATAATCACTTGAAAATTTAATTATGTATAAATGGTGCTCAACAGCCCTTAATTGCTCATGTTACTACCATATAATAATATACAAAAACTCCTATATTAATTATTAACAATAGTCGAACTCCTTTAAAATGTTAACAAAAACAATCAAATATATAAAATTATGCTATAGCAAAACTTTTCCGATCACCTCATTTTCACCTCATGATAAGCGCAATATTGCAAATAAAACAAGGAAACTTTTAAATATGTCATTGAGTCCTTTAATAAAATAATTATATACGGTTTGTTTTTAAGAATTCGTTTTCAAAATATCAGAAACCATGTTGAAAATTTATTATATTATTTTTAAAGTTTTTTTCATATTTAAGACAATTAAAATATAAAAAAATATATTGAAATAAAATTATCATAACGTATAAATCCGTGGAACTATCGCTAGATATGAATTAGAGAAGTCACCACCATTTTTTTTGTTTAGGCATGATTGACCACTTGATTAAATTTGTCTTATTTAAAGAGAAGTTTCAAGATTGATTTAGGTATCTTTAAATAGTAGATTCTGATCGACGAAATCAGAGTTTAGGTTCGAGAATACGATTACGTGTGAAAAAAGTTATAACACCCTCATAACACCTATCCAAAGACCCATCCAAAGAATTATACTAGTTTGATTTTAAATTATCCAAGCTTTGAATATATTTATATTTTACCAAAATATTTAATATTAAAAATTAGTCTTAAAATTATTTCAATAGTTTGATAGCAATTTAAGATAATTCTCTCACCTCTAGAGTATTAATGGAGACTAAGGTCCTACTCTAAAAAGGCTCTATCATCAGATTTATTAAAGGATTTCATTCAAGAAAAAATAGTAAGTCTCCCAATAGTTTGGTAGGATTTACTTTGTAGCAAATCTCCTAATAATTTGATGAGATTTTGTTTGAAAAAAGTTTGTAAAAATTTATTTTTATTATTTTTCTTTTGAGAGAATTCATTAAATCTCCCAATAATTTGATAAGACTTAATTTGAAAGGCGATCCTTCAATAGTTTAAAGGATAAAAATTATTCTTATTTTATTTTTGTTTCTTTTTAAAATTTATTTATAGAATTTCCCAATAGTTTGATTGATTCCATAAAATTTAAATCTATAAAAATTCTCCAATAATTTGATGAAATTCATGAAAAATTTTCTTTTATTTTTTATTTTTTTTGAAAATTGATTTATGAAATTTTTCAATAGTTTGGTGGCTTCTATAAATTTACTTGAAAAGATTTTTTTATTTTTTTGTCCTTTATTTTTTTTCATTCTTTGCTTTTTCTGTTTTCTAAAAAGAAAAGATTTTTTACTTATTATTTTTTCAAATATTGAATTACTAAATACAATTAAATAAATAAAACCAGTAAAATTAAATAAAAATTAAAAATAAAATAAAAACTCAAAATAAATAAAAAATCAAATCAAATCAAAAAATAAAATGAAAATGAAAAAAGAAAAACCTGCAATTCGGATTGGGTTAGAGCGTAGGCCTTATTTCTAGGATAGCCAAGAACACTCATTGAAAACTTCAACCAAAAATTGAAAAACCATTGGTTTTTGAAAAAGTCATCAAAAAATTTAATCTAAAATTAGAAAATCCATTGGTTTCTAAAAAATTGGCCGAAATATGGCCAAAAAATTCAACCTTTTCACTAGAAACTTCATTGAAAAAATTCATGTTTTTCCCAAAAATTCAGATTTTTCAGAAAAATCTTAGGTTTTCTAGATTTGCCCATATTTGCCCAAATTTCCTCAAAAACTCTTTAAAATTCTAATCCAAACCTCATAAACCTAAATCTAACCCAAAATTCTAAAATCAAAATCCTAAAAACTCTTCATTGCTAAAATTTTCCAGAACACCAACTCTCTAAAAAATCAACCGTTTTTCCCAAAAATCAACCGTGTCTTCAAAATCCACTATGTGTTCTATTCCATCATTTTGCATCCAATTTATAGGCATCCTTAGGGTAAATTTTAGGAAATAGACAGAATTATCCAAGACTTGAATATTAGGATTGGGTTCTATTCGAGTGTGATCTTAGGTCCTAATTGATTTCAGTGGTTATACTGATATGATTTTGCATTAAAAACATTTGACTATGGGATTCTGATCTATTGATTCAAAATTTTAGTTTCCAAAATTCTCATCAAAGATCGAAAAAAAAAAAAGAAAGAAGAAAGAAAATAAAATAATAATAATAATATAACACTATACCATAAACTATACTATAATAGTAGTAGTAGTAGTTGTTGTAGTAGTAGTAGTAGTAATAGTAGTAGTATTAGTAGTAGTAGTAGTAGTAGTAGTAGTAGTAGTAGTAGTAGTAGTAGTAGTAGTAATAATAATAATAATAATAATAACAATAATAATAATGAAAATTGACCCCGGACATAGATGAGTGTTTATAGCTATCCCTCTTTACATATCCCTATAAGACAAGGATGATGCAAAGACCTAGACACTTATGTTCCAAAAGTCAAATCTGTGAATAGAAATGACTGAGACTAAGCCATAAATCGAGAAACGATCGAGGTTAAAAGTCAAGAAGATGATCTGGATTGAGCTGAGATCAAATGATGGAGATAAAATTACGAGTCTTAAGATAAAACGACAGGATCAAGTAGTTAAAAATGATTAATTGGGACGAAATCGTGAGCTAAAAAAAATCTAGATTGAGACAAAATCATATGATTGGGATGATGCTGTGGTCTGAAAGTGACCAAGACCGAGTCGAAGTCATAGATGAATGATCAAAACGATGTCGTGAGTCAATAAATGATTTGGATCGAGTAGAGATCGAATGATTGAGATGATGTCACAGGTCTAAAAGTGACCAAGATCGAGTTTTGGTCGTAAATGAATGATCAGGACGATGCTGCGATCTAAAAGTGACTAAGATTGAGTTAAGGTCATAGATAAATGACCGAGACGATGTTGCGAGTCTAAAAGTGACTAAGATTGAGTTGAGGTCATAGATGAATGACCGAGACGATGTTGTGAGTCTGAAAGTGACTAAGAACAAGTTGAGGTTGTAGATGAATAACTGAGATAATGCCATGAGTTTGAAAGTGATTAAGACTGAGTTGAGGTCGTAGATGAATGACCAGGATGATGTCTTGAGTCTAAAAGCGACCAAGACTAAATCAAGATCATAGATGAATGATCAGGATGATATCACGAGTCTAAAAGTGACCAAAACCAAGTTGAGGTTAAAGATGAGCAACCATGATGAAAGTGTGAGTTAGAAGAATGATTTGGACTAAGCCGAGATAAAAAATGAATGATAAATGATCATGCTATAATGTAGATGCATGTCCTATCCTGGATGCAAATGCAAATACAATTATGTAGTGCTGATGTCATGAAATTTTAATTGTGGTGACAAGATTCTCAAGACTCTACCAATTCTTCTTAGCTTCTTGGTATTAGGGGTGTAAATGATACATTAGTACTCACAAGCTACTCGGGTTCTATTCAAAAAAAATTCAAATTCGATTCGATTATTGTCGAGTCGAGCTCGAGCTCGAGCTCGAGCTGAGTAGCTCGACTTATCGATCGAACCAAATTCGAGTATTCTTATATCTGACTCGAGTAGCTCGCGAGCCTAATCGAGCTTTTATATTTAAATATATTTTTATTATTTTAATTAATAAAATATTTCGAGTCTAAGTTCGAGTTCGAGTTCGAGTTCGAGTTCGAATTCGAGTATGAATAATCGAACTCTTGTCAAGTATACAAATCGAGCTTATTTTTACATATTAATCGAGCTTAATCGAGCGAGCTCGAGTAGCTCGAATTCGATCACGAATCGAGCTCGAGCTTGAAAAATAAAACTCGATCGAGCTCGAGCCGAGTATCGAGCCCCGAGTTGTGAGTCGAGCTCAAGTTCGAGCTTCTCACTATTCGGCTCAGCTCGGCTCGTTTACACCCCTACTTGGTATTAATGTTCTAAGAGCAAATTTTTTTAGTTGTTCCTTATCCTTCTTTTCATCTAATCATGATTCATCAGCTATGTCAACCAATCTATCATTGAATTCATCATCGAGTCATCTTGTTTGCCCTTTGTAAATCATTTTCTCATGCTTTTTTCATTTATCTCATCTTGGATTTGTTTCAAAAGAATCGAAAACTCATTATGAAAAATGTCATTCATTTATTTACCATCATTCAAATTAGTGATAGACATGACGCATTTCTTTGGTTCATTCAGGGAATGCTCATTTGGTGAAGGATAAGAAAAATGGGTTTTTATTATTAAAGGAACAAAAGGTATAGTCAAGAACAACTCAAAGGGTGAACAAAGGTAAAATGCTACGATTCATTCAAATAGGACATTAATATCCAAAATAATGATTGTTCAGACAATTTTGAACTCAAAGTCAAATTTTTTTAAAAAAATGTGATTCCATCAATATCATCCTCATTTTTGAGACCCTTATATAGAGCTGTGTTCCATAGTTTCATTTCAGGGTTTTAGTTTAAGTCTTCTTTTTTCTCTTTTTTCTCTTTTTCTTTTTTTTTTGTTTTTCTATTTTTTTCTTTTTTTTTGTGCACACCTTTTTCTCATTTTTTCATTTTTCTTTCTTTTTATTCATCAATGACACTTTGATCAAAGCTTCAAATAATCTAATGGAAAACCCAACCCAATTCAATTCATGATTCTCCAAATCAAATATTTATGTTCGATCAAAATGGACTTTTAA